ACTTCCCCAACTCCAGGTGTGTGTGTCACCTTTCCTATTCCCTCCATTCCTCCTCACTTATTCTAATTTAGAAACTTAGTTCTGTTCATAAGGAGCAGGGAGGCAGTTATTGATCAGTTCCACACACTCACTCCCCCGCTTTCCTGTCTTTGTAAACCCTGAGCTGTTTCTGTGCAGCACTCCGTTTCTCTAAGGATAGAGCAAGACAACTTGTGTTTTCACGGGGGCATCAGGGCGAAGAACAAGAAGGACCAAAGTGACTCAATGATGGTTATTTCGGAATTGCTACACAATAATTTAGGTTTATTGTTTGGCATTGGTGTTGTTGTTACATATGGTTAAATAATGAATGCTCCAGCATGCAAGACCACAGCAGACAGGCATCACAGACAGCCCTAATGGACTGCTCTTCTGTGTGCCCTCAGTGTTGCAAGGCTGCCTGCCTCCAGTTAAAACACTTCCTCTAAATGTTTATAAAAGCACTGAGCCTGGATTTTATGGTCTCTAATATGCAATGATTATTTTCAGCCTTCAGCCTGAATCATCCTTAAAAAACCACTCTTATATACAATCTTATTATCTCTGGGTGTAAATGACACTTATAATAACAATGACTAAGGTGTCTCATTAATCTCATTATTGATTGGGTGGTTTAGTAACATGATGATATAGTGATATGTTATGATGGATGATAAACTCATAGCATAGCGTAATAGAGACAGAGAGGGAAGGGGATGAGAGAGGAGCCGGAGGGAGGGTAAGATGGCACGCTTTCCTCCCCATCACTACACACATATTAAGGAGGATTTACGGTAGGTAGAGGAGGGTTGTAGATAAAATCTTCCATTTGTTTGACCTCTTACTCAACAGCAGAGGAAAGCCGTTGTTTGTGTGTGCACATTTAATTCAGGATCATGAGTGTGGACAGAATGGATGTTTTCTTGGGAGCTTTTTAAAGGAACATCAGGGTGTTTTTTCCAGCTATTTCAGTGCTGTCAGTGTTTTAAGATGTCCCCGTGGAAGACAAGATGTGTCATTAGCTATGTGCACCTTGATGTGGAGCGGAGGCCTCAGCTCCAGCAGGTTTCTATAGCAGAGTGCAGCGGTGCTCCCTTGATGGGGTCTGAGCTGAAACTGCTGTTCATGAACAGATGTGACGGTCTCATCCTGGGTGTTTGTTTCTCTCTGTCTATTTATGTGTGTGTGTCTAGGTCAGGTGGTGACAGTAGGGATAGCTGAGATACTGAATGGCTACTCTTTGAAGGCAATGCTGAGGAAGGTTCCAGGAGAGAAACACACTCGAGCAGCTGAAGACACCCACGATGACAGCTACCTTGGTAACATACCTCTACAAACACATACACATAAAATCACATGCTTTAATTTAAATAATAACCATAACTAAGCAATAATCATCATGTAAGACATAGAGTGCATGCAGACCACCTGAGGTCACTTCAGCCACATGTCATCATGTTTTCATCATCATCTGATTTCTCCTAGGTTACTCTGTGGCAGTGGGAGAGTTTACAGGAGACTCTGAACAAGGTGAGAAAGCCAACAATTCGTTACAACTAACCACATGCAACACCAGAGGAATCCCTCAGTAATAACATCAGCAGACACCCCGCAGCACCATCTGGAACACCACACGTTTGCAGCACTCTTTGTATACTTCATAGCTCAATGCTGGGAACACAGTGAGGGGTGCACTAGGGTGAGCGATAGCAAGTGGACAGCTGGGTGACAGAACTCAAAAGCATTAATGAGAACTGTCTCTGTATGTCTTGGCCACATCCCCAGGGAGCAGATCTTCAGGAACTACTGATAAAGGGATTTCCTGTCCTCCATTTCGACTGATTCTAATGATTAGTGGCAGATTCCACAGACCTTTTCAGGTCTAGATTGGGTCCAGAATCTCTTCTGGGCTTAAAATATTAGGTGGAAAAGACAGGCTGAATCATTTTATTAAAGATTTGCAGATGGGGAAGAGTGTCTTTGCCTTAATCTTTGCTGACCTTTTTCAAATGTGTACTATCTAGGCCAAAATTAATTCATAAAAGTACAAATTATTTTATTTTTATTGGTTGCAAGTCAGCTGGCATGGTGGAACAGCGCTGTCTCCTCACAGCAAAGAGGTTCCAGGTTCGAGCCTCAGCCACCCGATGTCTTTCTGTGTGGAGTTTGCATGTTCTCCCTGTGCCTGCGTGGGTTCTCTCCGGGTACTCCGGCTTCCTCCCACAGTCCAAAGACATGAGGCTTAGGTTGACTGGTGACTCTAAATTGCCCGTAGAGTGTGTGGTTGTCTGTCTCTAAGTGTCAGCCCTGTGATAGACTGGAAAACATTAAGGAAACACAGTAGCTATTTCAACAGAAGCACATCATTTTACTAGATAAAATATGGGGAAAAAACAAAACCTATCACAGTCAAGCCACATCTTTTTAAAACAATCTTTACTGCTTCTTCTTCAAACACTGTCACCACACACTCTTTTCTGCTGCTGTCACAAGCATGAACGCCTCCTCCCCCAATACCACTTAAGATTCCTGTGCATAATTTCCTGTCCATCAAAGCCACCTTGCTAATCACCACTTGGTGGGATCTTTACGGGACAACATTGCGTTTACATACTTCCATACCAACCCCACAATGGCTCCGAACTCCCTCCAGCACAACACATGTCAGAGAGTCTTAAAGTGATCGTTAAGCAGTTGTACATGCCCGTTAATGTGTTGTGATCCAAATCTTGTTGTGGTATTGTTCCCCAAACCCCTCTTCAGACTGGAGAACTGATTGTAAGTGGGAGTTCAGAGTGACGCTGGAGCTGGGAAGTCCGGGTTCATATGCTTGTGGTTGAGCCTGCTGGGTAAAGATGGGGGGCAAGAGGAGAGGATGGTCTTCTCTCTGAGGGTGGGACCCTTAGATCATCCCTTTACCCAGAGCCTGCAGCACCACACTCATCAATCAATATACAAGCAGAGTCCAAGCACTCAATCACTCAGTGCATTCTCAACAACACTCTGCTATTTGGCAGGGTGGGCTGGGAGTTTGAGACACACACACATACACTAATTTAAATCTGTCTTTGCTTTTATGTTAAACAGAGCTGATAGCTGGAGTCCCCAGAGGAGCACAGAACTTTGGATATGTGAGTATGGACAAATGAGCAGATTAGAAAAAAGGCACACAGAATAGATTTTGGTGCCAGAAAATGACATGTGTTGGGTCATTCTACAGCAACAGCTGAGAAAGAAATTCTGTAAGTGATATGCTATGGTCTTTAGAGTCAACACATCTGAAACCCAGTCAAACACTTTTCTTAGATGTTAGCTGATGAGACAATCAGCACAGAAAGAGGGAAATTATTTTGAAAGGATGGTATTTATAACCCCACTAGAATTACAGACACTCTGGATCTGGGGCAAGAAGCACTGAAGCTGTTCTCAAAGCTTAGGGTGGATCAGCACCATATCGCCCTATGTTGGTTTTTCTTTATGTTGTCTGTTGTATAGACATAAAGCTGGCAGCTCTAAATACTGCATGACATACAGTAAGATGTGCAGGATAGGTCAGAGAGTATGCATCAGTTTTTACGTGGAGACACACATGCAGACAGTTAAGTCTCTTATATTCATCTGTTGTCAGTCTTTAATGGCGTGACTGCCTGTACAGTGCAGAACACATAAATATATGTACATTACTTTGACAAATACTGCATGTGCCGCTGTACTGCAGTGTGTCTTGTGTTTGCTTATGGGAATGTGTCCCCAGGGCTGACTGTGTCAGTCCTCCCTAATGACACACAGTTTCCGCTGCATGTGGAGGGCGGTGACCCCACCTGACCCCACTACCCCTTCTCAACACACACATGACCCCTAATCCCTAACCTGCAGTGCATTTGCAGGTCTCACCATACTGTGGTCACAGTGTGGGTTTTATGTCTGGACATTGTGTCTGGTGCAAGAACGTCCCTGCATGTACAGACAGCACATTGTGTCATAGACGAGGCTTGTAGCTCACAGCTGGAGGAGTGTTATGAGAGACGCAGGAGCCATGTTAGAGCCCTGGCAGCGGAGCAGCTGTTGGGCTCGATCGATCTGGTTTCTTCTGTGACCAATCTAACAAGTCAGAGTAGAGAAGTTGACGTCCCAAGTAGTGATTCAATATTTGTGTTTACACATCCTCATCTTTCTGTGTTTGTAAGTCAATCTATGTTTAGTATGTCTCTGAGACATCTGTGATTGGATCAGTGTGTATCCTCCTGCATTTGTATGTGTATGTGTGTGTGTTAGTGTAGCCCCTGGCTGTCTCCATGTGGTTGTTATTTTAGGTCTTATGAAGGAATTCTCAGCTCCCGCCCCCCACCTCCGTCTCTCCCCATGACCAGGGTTAGAATGGGGGAAGTAGAGAAAGATGAGGGGAAAATGGTAAAGTCACAAAGAGGATGGTGGGGGATGAGATGGAAGGCGGTGGGGGGTGCCAGGACAAGAAAGAGGTTTGAGTTGAATAAAAGCTTTTATGCGGTTTCTGACTTTTTTCC